TGACCAAAGTATCTGAGCTTGAGCTTCATTATCAATCCTTCCAATGAGCAATCAGGGTTGATTTCCTTTAAGATTGACTGGTTTGACCTCCTAGTAGTCCAGGGGACTCTCAAGAGTCTTCTCCAGCACCACAGTTCAAAGGCATCTGTTATAGTGACTGCTGTATATTGAATGCGAGTTCTATTTATATTGCAATCAGTGTTCAAATTCCTGTGCCTCTTTCTCCTACCTGCTCTGTAAAAGAGGCTAGAAGTTACTTGCTTTGGGATGGGGGAAACGATATCCAACTTTCCTTGCTTTGATAATAGCCAGATCTGGTATCACACCTTTCACTTTTGATCACGTAAGAACTACCTCCCACAATTCCCTATGTGACTTCAGCTATAATGACTAGGAATTATGAGTTGAGTAGACATTAGTTGGCCCCTGACCATTTTTCAGAAGGTCATTTTTCAGGGTGGAGAAGGACTATTGCAAGGATCAAAGTAAGCATTACAAGAGAAATGTGTGATTCCCAAACAAATATAGACTCAAAGATGATCATTTGCAGGGAAAAAATGGTAGTCAAGGGAAAGATTAAACACCTGCCTGTTGCTCATCTAATCTCGCCTCTCCAATTCATATTTACATTCCTTTTATTTTGGACAGTGTTGTTATAGCTAGATGCCCTCCTTCTGTGTTAGACTAACTCCCCAAATTCATGTTCCCAGGATGGCCAATTCAGACAGACATCTGCGTAGCTGCTGATGCACTGCAATACTAAATTAAACGGTGATTCTAAATACTTTTTACATTTAAACAATTTATTAATCCAAGTTCTAGCAATTGGTGGAATTTTCATGGAAATACAACTATGTTATGTAAAATCTACCTGGAGAATGTTTATCTTTCATGACTGCCAAGACAACTTAGATAACTACAGTACTTGTATAATTAGCTTAAGTACATTCTTAAGAATATAATATTAATACTATGGTTTAAATGTGCAGCCACCTTACTAGGAAGTAATTTACAGCATCTAGAACACTTGGAATAGTACCACCAAAAAATTAAATAAATTGATTTTTAAAAGATTTTCTGTTTTCATGTATTTGTTATACATTCTTCTATATATTTGTCATAGAGCAACAACACTGAGCTTGAAGCACATGAAAGAAATGGAATGCAGATTCAAAACAGAAGTAGACTTCGTAAGCTTAACTTTCTTATTCTTCTTTATATCTAAAGGATCCTGCGTTTCAGCCCGGGAAAACATTCTTCTCTTCTCCTCTCTATAGTTCTGTGTAGAAATGTAAAGGTTTCAGTTCTGTTCCCAGGATGTGTGTGAAGGCTGTGTGTGCAGGTTTTGCTCATATGTACTCTAATGGAATGAGAGAAATATTACTTTATTTATCTCACTTACAATTCAGTGACAATCCTATTTAATGGCTGCTTAGGGCATATCCATGGCACTTCCTTAACTTTCAGGATAGTAGTATGACAAAATTATTGGAGGGAATCTGAAATTTTTTAGTTTGCAGCAGTCAACTTGCTGCAAATTGGTACCTCTTTGTTCCAATACATTTGGGTTTTGATGATAATATTTTATTTTATATAGTCTATTGAACTTTATGAGAAACAACATACAAGAAGACAACAAATCCAAATATGAGATTAAAGCAACTCTGTAAAAATGTAGGATTGCAAATATAAATTCTGAGAGAATAACAATATGATTGAGGAATTTATGGAGGAAGAACAGTCGTTCAAAATGAACAATTATAGAGATCTCAGATCTGGACTGCAAAAATTCAGACTTCTAAGAGATACAAAAACCTCTTTGCTGCTGCTTGCCCATTTTTGTAGCTCAGATCTGGTAGATCAACAATTACTACAATTTAACCTAAATCATATTGTCATTGGTATGTTTGAAAATGCATTTGATTGTGCCTGTAACATTCAGTGTAGGTTATGCAGGGGTTGTATGTTATAAATGATTTAAAATATTCTATTGTCTAAAGTTTGGGGTTTTTTTATTCTAAAGGAACCTTTACAATCAGTGAAAATAGTGTCAGTGAATAACCCATTAGTCTTTCTGAATGCTAAGAAGTTTTATGCCAAGATATTAAAAATAATCCAGAAGGAGTGGACGTGTGCACAGCAGCTGTCAGAAGATATGAACAAGGTAAGACCTACTTAATAAAGAGTAGAGAAAGGTGAAAATTAATTTGTGCTCCAGATTTACAGTCAAGTGATTGTATTTTGTATTGCTAGGAAGAGATCATGACTAAGCAACTAGAACACATTTCAGACCATGTCAAAAAGGGACCTAACATGCTGAGTTGGACCTCTGTTCTCCCTAGCTCACTTTTGATGACAGCGACTTACAGCAGGTTTCCAAGTTTCTGAAAGAAGTCCTATATGAATATGTCAGGGTTTAAACCTAGGACTCCTTTGTTGCCAAGCATGTTTCTGTACTCCCAACACCCCACCCTGCACTGCCCCAGTAAAGAACTCTCAAATTTTATCTCTAAATATCTGACCAAAGGAGGTGTAAATATGGGAGGAAGTATAAATTTGGAAATACACTGGTGGTTGCATGTAAAAGAAGACAAATTACAGCAAAAGTAAGACTCCAAATTATGTGATTATTATTTTATCCTGTTTCCCAAGCCACCTTTGAATTTTGACTTTCTAGTGATACTAACCATGAAAGCTCATTTGTGGAAAGCCAAGGCAACAGAGTGATTGAGCCATTTTTATTTCTAGCTGACCAGATCTATAGAACAGGAAGAAACAGTGCAACTGTTTGATTCATCCATGTTGAATCAAACAGTTCATTCAAGTTTGATTTGTTTCAGCATCCTGCAGTCATGTGATTGCCATTTGCGTGCTTCGCAACTGGCTTCCGACAAGCAGAGTCAATGGACAAGCTGGCATTAATATTAAAAGTTGTGGTCATGTGATGTCTCACTTAACGACTGTGGCAGAAGTGAGGTCGTAAGTCCATTGTGGTCACATGATGTCTCGCTTAATGACCATGTCGCTTAGTGATGGAGTTGCTGGTCCCAATTGTGGTCATTAAGTGAGGACTACCTGTAGATGCCTCCTGGGCTCATGCACACCTTCTGCCTTTCATCTTTCTTCTCAAATGCTATCATTCTCTTCCTTCCTGCTTTGAAGCAAACAGTAGTTTTCTGTTTCTTGTAAAATGAGAAACTATGATTTGTACTTGCCTGGAAACAAGGATTGAACACCAGAATCAAAACATAATTCTTTTCCAAAGAAAATGTATCAACCATTATGTCTGAAAGCAAGAATGGAGCTAGGGAATCAGTGTGTGATGGAAAGTGGAATATATAAACATGAGGCTTTTTGAAGCCCATCTAGAAATGGTGGTGTGATTTTACCTATGAGTCAATCAGATATGTGTGCCTATGCATGGTTGTACAATTTATTGCTGAACTCCAATTCCCAGCAGCCACAGCTAGCATGGTCAATATAGTGAATGCTGATAGTTCCACATCTGGAGGGAAGCATGTTGGCTTATTTCATACACAGGAGTAATAGTCTTTTAGTTAGCTTTAAAATTAATCAACACTTTCCATCTATGTTACTGCAGGTAATGAAAGAAATCAAATGGAAATGACTGTGTTTTGCTTCTGTTTTAATACTGCTACCAGTAAATAATAAAAAAACGAGTGAGAAGTATGTAGCTTTCTCATTGTTATTATTCATTATGGGTTAGCTTTGCATCCCAGGTAATAACAATGCTATAGAATTTTCCCCATAGCCTTAATAATTCTTGCAGACCAGATTCTGTAAACATGCTTCCAGGGAAATTGTATTAAAACTGCCTTTTTGTTTTTGTTTGATCTGTATATAATATGCCCTTTTAAATGATAATATTGCTGCTCTGGCGGCCAAGTTCTTGAAGGCCTATCATGAAGAAACTCTACGATTTTAGAATTAGTGTAAAAATAACTGTCAGAGTTCCTAGCAAGGCAAATACACTGTATTCATAAAACAGTCAGAATAACCATTTTTGCAGCAGAAAATAAGAGTTAACATTGCAATCAATCAATCATGCTGCTTTTCTTTTTGTTTCAGTATGAACAGAACATATTGCTCACTTCATTATCCAATGGAAACTGCCATGGTGAGTGAACAATTCAAGAAATAAATACTAGATCAGTATTAATTTTCCTGTTAATGTCAGGTTGTTGCATCATGGGAAAGAATCCAGCATATCTTATTGCTGTCCACATATCTTCCATCTGGCATGGTAAGCAAAAGAACTAGAAGGTATGTCTATATGGGTATGAATCCAAGAGAAGGGGGACAGATTGTTCCTCTCCTGTACTTCATGCACCCTAAGTTGATGGACTGAGGGGTTTGCGCTGACCATGTAATTTAAAGGGCCTTTTATTTCTTCGTTCATGTGGAAGCCATAGGAGGCAAGGACTGCATGGAGGTGAGCAAACCGTAAAAGAGGAACATAGTATTCACTCTTCTTCTGTGTCCTCATTGACACACAACTTAGGAATTTAATGGGGTACTGCAAAAGAATATAAATCTTGCTGTCCTTCCAGTCCCCAGGAGGCTAATCAACATTTTTCCAGGAAAATATCTTTATGAGCTTATTTACAAGGTTGGCTCACACTTTTTCAAGTGCAACATAGGGAATGTTTCTAAGTGTAAATGTACTAGATTTTCAAAAATGTCTAATTCTGTAATTCATTGGAATTTATATGGTCCTGGACCTTTGGTTCATATTAACTTCCCTGATGTGTTAGGATTTTATAAGAATTCGTTTGCCAGTCTAACAATACTTTTGAATTATTTGAGATGAACTATGTAGTCAGGCTACCAGATCTGGGCCATAAAAGTCTAGTTGGCCATTAGTTGGCATAAAGAATGGCTACCAACAACTTCTTACATCAGTGTTGTCCAAACTTGGCCACTTTAAGATGAGTGGACTTCAACTCCCAGA